AAATATGTAATGACTGTTAACAGTTAGCATGTATCATTATCCAGTATTTAAGAATTTACCATTCATATGGTCTTCAGTTGAGTAGTAACACCCATTAATGAGTAAATTCTTCAGTTCCCTTATAAACTGGTTTTTATTTCCAAGTTGTTTTATATTATTATGTAATTTATTATAAAAGATACAACCAGCAACTGAAGGTTTACTATTATAAAGTTCTAAGTTATGCACCCATTTATGGTAATCATTGCTATTTCTTGTATTGTGTGTGTACTTGTTTATTTACCCTGCAGTTACACTTATTAGTTACATAAAAGATGGCTTGTTGTATGTACAACAAATATACTGTTAAAATCTTAAGATGTTTAAAACTATCTCTGCACGATTCTAAAGGCTTTAGCCCTGCAGTGTACTGTACTGCTCTTTTTTTTTTTTTTAGAATAATAATAAAAGTGCCTTAGCACTGTGTCCCCATACTACAATTCCATATGTTAGAAAGGGATAGATCAAACCATAATATAACATTCTTCTACCCTTTAGGTCGAGTATTTTAGCAAGTCTATTTATTATAAATAAGTTGCGGCTAATTCGACTGCAGCTTATATCAATATAAACATCCCAGCTCAAGGTACTGTCAATTACTACCCCCCGAAAGTTTTACTTTTAACATTCTCTATTTCCATATTCTTGATTAAAATTTTATATTTATGGTCCTGCCTACATTGCTTTGTCTGAAAAAAGATGCAGTGCTTTTTGGTTGGGTTTATGAATAAATCATCATCTCAAAGTATTTCTCCACAACTCCAATATTAATTGAAGTTATATATTGGAGTTCATTTACATCTTGTCCCATATTCAGTATTGAAGTGTTGTCTGCATACATTATAGATCTACCTTGTGTTAGGCGAGGAAAGGACCGATCCCTGAGGGACTCCACATTTAATTGGAAGGCTACTCGATAAATATTCCTTCATTTCGTTGATTTCCATATGTGCTACTTTCACCTGTTGTGTTCTATTTGCTAGATAGGATTTAATTAACGTATGTGGAATACCGAGAACACCATATTTATATAATTTATCCATAAGAATGTTATGTTAAATACAATCAAATGCTTTTGATAAGTCTAATGATATACAATTGCATTTTATTTTATCATTCAAGTTATCTATTATAATTTCAATAACTGTAGCAAAAGCGTCATTAGTGGAATGTTTTTTCTAAAACCAAACTGAAATGTATTTAGTATATTATGTTTATCTAGGAAGCCTGTTAATTGATTAACTATTACTTTTTCCAAAACCCTAGAGAACATAGGAACAAGTGTGATTAGGCAATAATTACTTGCATCTTCCTTAGTCCCCCCTTATAGATAGGGGAAACGACCGATTTTTTTAATATAGATGGAAAAATGCCATCTCTAATTGATGCATTAACCAGTTCTATGTATGTATGTATGAAAGGTTGGGCCTGCTCGGCCCTTGCACTTAGAACTCAGTGGTCCATTGTGCTTCCCTTTTTTTAATTATTCCCTCAGCAACCCCACGCTTCGGATGAAGTGCAGGATTTTGGATGTGGGGGCGTCGAAATAGTCACTTGGTTCCATAAATGCATTAACCAATTCTAAAAGCTGTTTGGAAATATAAGGTGTACTTTTTTTAGCAAGTCAGGTGAGATATCATCAAGTCCTGCTGACTTATTATTCGCCACTCTGGATTATTTTAATCAAATCGGCCTCTGTTATTTCAAGCAAAACAAATGAGTCTTTTAAGCTAACATTATTATTAACAGTTTGTGGATGGATTAAATTTTTATCAACTATAAGATTATTAACAATTTATCCAAAGGTTTTATTAAATATATTACAAGTTCTACTTGGGCTTGAAACTATTTGTTTTCCATCTAATAAGTACATATTTCTAGTAAGTATATTATTTAGAGAATCTCTTTCATGATTTACAAATTTCCACATTGCTTTTGGAATGTTTATTGATCTATTTATAATATTCTGAATATAATTTGCTTTTGCAGTTAGTATGATTGTATTGAATTTTTTGTTATATTCTTTATAAATGTTTTTATGTTCCTGAGATTTGCATTGTATATAAAGATCATACAAATTTCTTAATTTTGTTCTGGCTATGACAACATCCTTATTTATCCAAGTAGCCTTATTTACCCATGCACTGTTTCGTCTTACCTTTGGGCAGGCTATATTAAAATAGTAGTTAAAAATGCTATAAAAGGAGTTCCATTTGTTCTCTATATCATTTTCACTAAACACCTCAGTCCGAGTTTCAGTTTGTATAAAAGAACAAAAGCAGGTTATATTGTCATCCGATAAATCCCTAACCTCTTTATAACAACTTATTTGTAGTGGTGTGGTCATATTAATAGTTATACAGTGTGCATAATGATCCAAAAGTAGGCTATTTATTAGTATAATAGCAATTAGCAGCTATATTAGTCATGATTTGATCTATAATTGTTGCTGTACTCTCAGTTACTCGAGTACGAATATTTATTGTCATAGTCATGTTATAAGCATTAATGGTATCTAATATAGTAATCGCTTGTGACCACATCCATTTTCCTGGGTATTTATATTTAAGTCTCCAACAAGAATGATATATCGATCTATCTGAACAAGCTGCTCCAATACATCTATTAGTAGGTTAAAAAATTAATATATTCCACCACTTTGTGATCTATATAATGCAATAATTATAAGTTTTATCTTGTCACATGTTATTTCTATACCGGTAACAACAAGAGTTTTTTCTATACATTTTCCTGTAACCCAATTCAAGGGTTTGCTTTGCTCCATGTTACTGGTACTGTAAATAGCTATTCCTCCACCTTTATATATTTTCCTACAAAAATATGAGACTAGAGTATAACCTAACATACACTGAGGGATTTCATCCTCTTTGAGACCATGTTCAGAAATAACTAATATATCAAGGGTAGTACTTTGGAGAAATTCAGTAAATAGTTCAGTTTTGTTACAAAGATATTGAGCATTTTGATGTATTATAATACATAATACATAATTGAAAATAATTATTTTCAAAGTATGCATTGGTTTGACTTCCCCAATTGGGAATGACTGGAACCCTAGGGATCCAGTCTTCATTGTTAGTTTCCCTGATTTAGATCACCTAGAACTATTACATTTAGTTGGTTCCTTTTATTATTACCTATTATTTTACTTATTTCGTGAGTAATATATTCTTTACCTAGTCTGTTGCTCTGTCTTTCCCAGATTTTCTCATTGCTTTGGTTTGTGATGTGGTGTAAGTATTGTTGGTTATGAACCTAGGTATTCGAGAAGAAGTTTGTGTAGAACAAAACACATCATTTTAAATTTTAAAAAACCAACTTAGTTGCTATAATCTACAATTTACCCAGTAACTACATCTTTCAATAGACTAAAATTAGTAGACATTGGCCAATGTAGATAACAGATACAGATATATATACAGGTGGCAATTATGTAAAATATCCTTATAATGTCCAACAGGCTGAAACAAGCTGCATGGCAAAGAGCCATATATATATGTCTTCAAAAACCAATTTCTAACCTCTCATGCTTTCAGAAAAGCGCATATTATGCTGGGATCAAAATTTTTAATAACCTGCCATCTGATCTCAAAGGTCTTATGAATGAAAAGGCACGATTTAAAATAGCACTGGAACGATACTTAAATACACATTCATTCTACTCTGTTGATGAATACCCACTGTTTAGAAAATAACTTATGTACCTATCTTTAAATAGCCTTATGTGTATTCACTGTGTGTTCTTGGTTTCTCTTGTGTAAGAACGCCATTGGGACTGTACATATGTTTTGTATTTATATGACATATTCCACATCCTACAGTCATTTTGACTAACTTTGGATCCATGGAATGCAATGCAATGTTATGTTATCAATTTATTACTGTAGTATTGAAATATAATATTTGTGATGATGGAACCTTTCATATCTGTTGAACTTATTTCTTTGGTTGGTCACTATTTTATGGGTTGTAATGACATGTAGTGTGTTACAAGTTAAGTGATGTTTCAAAGGAACATGCTTCCTCCATCTTCAAGGTCAGTGAGTAAACCAAACAAGAAGCCAGCCTCAAGCAGGTGGCAAGTTGAGCTGATTTTTTGCCTTGCTTACTCTTTGACCTTGAAGGTGGAGAGAGAGCAGTTTCCTGCAGCGTCACATGCTACAAGACAGGAATGGCTTTGTAGTTTGGGGTCCTTGATTCAAATTTCTACTGTGCTCTGTGGTTCTTCTACTCGTATTTAGGCTAATGCTTTGAAATAATGCAGAATAATTCTCTTATGTCCCATTCCAGACTGCATAAGTCTCACAGTTTATAAATAAATTAATAATAACATGCTCATTTTGTTAAAGATGTACTGCAGTGTGGACAGTGACGTGATTGATGTGTGGTGTGTTTAGCCAGGCAGGTTGTGCACCTCTGAGAACTGGGGGGTAATGTCAGTTTTAAGATTCTGAGTATATACCTGAAGGGGCTGAGCCAGGACAACCAGTGTATGGTAGAATCTGAAACCCAGGATCTCCTGAATAGGAAGAGAAGCCGTAACTACTGAACTTGGAGGTCTGGTCACAGCACACTGAGTGCATGCAGTTATGTACTTGGTTGGCTAAGCTGACATGTCACATAAAACTGCATTACATTTTCTGATTCTTTTATCGGACGTTTGCCTGTCATTTCAGCAGGCAGTGGGATGCTGGCAGCTTATATTCGTGTGATGAGTCGGTGATGTGATAGCATGAGGCTTGTCAAGCTGGCTGCTCCAAGGGTCCCATTGCTTTCTTTTTGTTCAGTGTGATCCTCGCTGTGACCAGTATTCCCGCACAAGAAAAGTACTGCTTCAGTGACCCCCATTTCAGATGCAGACATATTTATGCAGGAATAGTGTTGTGGTTTGATAACTGATGATGGGTCATGGTACAGTAATGCATCTCTTTGTGTTGCAGGATGAACCACTGGCTGGCTGGAAGGCAGGTGAGAGAACGGTTGGAGGCTCTTTTTGAACAAATTCACATAAAGCATCAGGCTGTCACACAGTACTGCTGTTAAATGTACAGTCTGTGTAGTCTCCAGACTGTTATACATCTATTTATTACAAAAGCAATTTATTTTTTTTTTTGGCACAATTTCAATCTTTCAGATCACATATCAAAATTATTCTCTCCAACCATACATTCATTCCTGTTCATGAATCGTCCTGAGAATGACTCGAACTATATTGCTGCTAAATGTATATTATCATGAAACTTTTCATTGGAGATATTTGCTTAGATTTATGTACATTTTTCAGTTTTGGTTAAAGTCTAACAAAAATATGAGGCAGTTTATATGAAAACCAAATTAATTTCTGCACCTGTCTCGAACATAAATTGTTAAATATTTGTCTGAGTGAAACATGTTCTAGGCAGACATGGATAGAAACAAAACAAATTTTGGGCCTAGTACACTTTTTTTATGAGACTTGGGCTTTTAAAGGTAATTAAATAAGAACTGTTATGCTATGCATATGTTTCCAAACATACGTATTCAAGAATCAGCCATAGTCCTCTGAATACACATCAAGCAATGACAGTTTTCTGAACACATGAAGATTACCAGAGTTTCTTCCTGGTAGCAAATAAGTGAAGCTTCCTTCCACCTGAATTTATCAGTCTGCATACATATAAATATATATATTTAATTACAACATAATTTTATATGATCTCCTGTTATTTCAATCTCACCTAATTTTTAATTTGTTTTTGTTATGACCTTTTTGGAATGGTTATAATTTTGAGATATTTGTATGCCAGACTTGAAGCTGATGTAAATCATTAGATTTCCCCCCACCCTTTTACCCATGCACTTCTACCACCCTCGTCCTTCCATGGCAAATATTATTATTAGAAGGGACCTCATTGGTCCAGTCTACTTACAGAAAAATGGCATTACATTTGGCAGGTTGTGGACCTCTCTGCTGAGGAGCTGGACAAGCTGTGGTCAGTCATGCGTAGCAACTTCACAGTTCATCTGAACACTGTGCTCTGTGGAGCAGAATCGGCACCTGACCAGGAAAGGGATGTAGATTTGTCTTTGGAAGAGACTTCAAAAGAATCAATGGAGGTGTGTACGAGAAGTATTTGTTCTGTGTTAACTTCAACTTCAGTTTTCTCCAGATGTATCGGAAATGGTTCAGCACATTCAGAAGTCAAACTTACATCTCTTTAATGTCTGAAGGTTTTTTATTTGAGACGATTTTCCAGTATGGCATATGCTGTTACTGAGCTCTGTCATCAGCAGGGGGCACTTGGATAGTGTGCACTGCTCTCTCGTCCCATGTAGCTTTTGATTGATTTAAGTTTGTTTGCACAGGAATTTTTCCACACTCTTCTGTCTCTTGCAAAACAGTGCATTGACACCCCTGAGCCTCACGTTTCCAAAGAGCTTGTCCACATTGCATTGGCACTGGGAGACATCCTGCTCAACAAAAACACTCCGCAGCAGGTAAGGACAGTTTCCCCATGGTGGACCTTGTAATACTGAACAGCGGGCATCCTGTTTCATTCTCAGTAGTTCATATGAAAACCAGTTCACTTCATTAGTTCATTTTTTATTTCCTCCTTTAGATTAAAACACATTGATATAGGACATGCCTGTCTATATTATTATCAAAACGCATTAATGATTGTGGTATAAAATGTCTCTTGTTAACAACACTGCTCCAAAGTGGGCTACCTCAAGACTTTTACCCACTAGAATAGTTTGCTCAGTCTGAGGAATTTGACCAGAAACTGTCCTGTCCGTGATTATAAAGACAGCGGTTCATACAGAAAATTGTTAACATTATCCATTCCCTACGTTTCATGTGTTTTTGTAAGAGAAAACTGCAAAGTCATTAAATGACCGCTGCTGGAACTGTGTCTAGGACTTTGTTTTGAATGGCATCAATATGAAAGACTGCATGAAGTGACCACAGTGCTGCTCAAGAGTAATTCAAACTTTAACTGAATTTTAGCATGAAGAGTTACCCGAAACCTGCAACTCTCTGTACTGTTTATGCCTATGGCATAGCCATGAAGCAGGCTGCACATTCTCTACAGATCATTCAAAACTGTACAGTTGTTTGATGTTGAATAAATGAACGTACAGTGTGGAGCAATTGCCAGAACTTGCATTCACTTCAGAGCTGTCCTTTACATGAATTATGAGCTCACATGCAGTGTAAGGAAGTGTTTCGAACACAAGTTATGTATTTTTTTTTTGTAGATTAGAAGATGCACTTAGATTTTTGGCAGAATTTTTAACGGAAAAGTGGGTTTCATGCTCCAAATGCATATAAATATATTTTTGGAAGCCTTGTACAGAGGGGCTACTAAAGGGACAGTGATATGGGGAATACTATTAAACTGAAGATTAGGAAAGTAGGTTATAAGGTGTTCGAGCTGTGTTGAAACAGGTTAGCACAGGGTCTGCCATGTTGCAGGTTCAGCAGGAGACAGCAGATTTTCTGGTACTGTGGTGCAAGAAGGGCCTGGCGTCAGTGCACTTGCTGTGCGTGAAGACATTCCACTATCTGCTTGCATCCTCACTGCACAAAGGGATTCTTGTGAGTATTACATTCCAAATATGTGATGCAGCATTTTATAGTTTTCACTGCTTCCTTGCAAGTCTTTAACTCAGAGGATCAGAGTTTTTCTTGAGAAAATAGAAGTCTCTAATCTCTCCAAGAAATTCTATGCCTGTTTTGTGTTTTCACTCCGTTAATAACATCATTAATATATAAGATTTGAGGCTTTCACGGCGGTGACTATGAAGAACGCAGTCTTCTGGGATTTGGCACCGTGTATATGTGGTGTTAACCGACGTTTCGGAGGAACGTATCGCCCCCATCTTCAGGGTTGAAGAAGTATAAGTAAATCTGCAAGCGATAACTCCGTGAGACACGGTCAAGCAGACTAAAGAACATACCGTTGAGCAGAGAGGGAAGGGGATGAACTGCAAGTAAACAAGTGAAAGCAGTGGTGTGGGAGGGGTGGGGGAAGGGAGCCGGGACAAGCGTGATTTTGTGTAGGGGAGAGTGTAGCAGGGTTAAATGGCTGGGCTTTAACTGTGAGCTGAGGGTGGGGGGTTGTTATGTTGGTTGGTCATGGCCTTGTGGCTTCCTGGATCTGGCGTCATATCCCGGTGGGTGGTTTTTAAGAGAACAGATAAGGGGTTTCCAAGACTTGCTGAGACGAAACCCATCCTCTCTGTTCATACGCAGAAAACTGCGTTCTTCATCATTAATACAGATCAGATTCTGATGAGTCCAGTTCAGTTCTATCCCTCACAGATTTCTTGGGCCTTGCTAATGGTCAAGTTTAAAGCAGATTAAAAGCATAGACAGTTGTGAACAGGAAATGCATCAGATGGGTGATTACATCACAGCCTTTACTGTATGTTTCATTTAAATGAATTTTATTAGCCTAATTAGTTTTGTTGCTCTATGAAATGTAGTGAGATTCTTTTACATTAAGTTATGGGCTTTCTTGAAGTTTATAAATAGCTGGTGTACTGTCCCATTTAACTCCCACACTTTCTCCACTATCGAGACAATGCAGTACTCTTCCAAGTGATTCTGTCTGTGTATGGAGTTGGTTTTGGATAACATGTTCGTGTGCATTAACTCATTGGCTTCATCTCAGAACAGTTTCATGCGATGCTTAAAGTGGATTGGGAACAATTCTGTCCTCTTGTACTGATTTGTCCAGGAATAAACCCAGTCACACTGTGTTCTGCTGTATCTAGAAGCTTCAGTCCTTATGGGTTAAGTTATTTTTATTTGTTTTTCTTGAGATAACTTGCCATCTTGTCTTAGCTCTGTCATGAAATTGATGTTCATACACAATGGTTCCATTTGATATGTTCTTTTGGTGAAGTATGTAAAATTAGAAGGTATCTGTCCATCTTTTCATCTGCATGTTTAATGTCTGACACTGCTTGGTGGATTTTAATGAAATTTGATATTGGGGGTTCTGTATGAAAGTTGTCAGCAAAATTTATTTTTGCTTTATGCTAGTTGAAACCTTTACCTTATAAGAAACAGTAACTGGACTTAATAAAATGGCTCAGGTGTTAATGTTCACATAGTGTTGATTACTTTTTTACAGTCTGATGTGAAACATAATGTTCTATAGAGTTTATTAAAAATTATTCAATTTAAAAGTTTATCACTACATGTTTCTACCAATGTGGTCATCAGGTGTTAAAATTATTGGGCGAGGAAACTGCTGTCTTCTGTTGTTGCTTGTGTTGTTAATATATTCTAAGGCCCTTCAGTGCGCATATGTGTTTGAGTTGGTGGATTGTATTCTCTCCTGTATTGTGTTGTGTGTCTTGTTTTTGAATGCATTTGAATCTTGTAGAACATAATATTGCACATGAGACTGTAAATATTCATCGACACTGAGTGAAAAGTTCCACAGGATGCTACAATGTGATACAATGTTCATAGATGTCTGATGTGAAACGGCTGTGGAATTTTCACCAGAACCTGTTAAATGCAGATTATCAGAGTGAGGCATTCAGGTGCTTGGTGCCGCTGTTGCTGAGAATGGTGCAGAATGAGCCAATGTTGAGTGTAAAAGAGGGACGCTGCTTGGTGGCATCCTTCCTCTGTCTGAATGAGGACCTTGTTAAGGTGAGTTAATGAGGCTGAAGAATGAGACCGAAGCCGAAGATGTCTGTGATCAGTCCCCTGAAATTGTGCTTGACATGGACAGTAACACTGACCTGTATGTACTACACAGTATGAGCACCTCATCAGTTATGGATATTTACAATTTTTCTGCCTGTTGAGACCTCTTTTGCTTTCTTTCACAAACTTCTTTGTCTGCATATTCCATCTGTTCTGTTACTCCTGAAAGTTGTCATCATGTCTTCTTCAGTATTACATTGTTAAAAGATTGACTCTCCTGAAATATGGTTTGATGGGATTCATCAGATGCTGCCATGGACATCTCATTTTGTGTGTCGAGTCTGAAGGTCTCACAGCAGCGACGATGAAGAGTTCTGTGATACACTGTTGGTGGTTAACATTCACTGGACTGCACAGTGTTATAACCTGGAATATAGAAGAACCCTTTATCTCATGCAGTATGTTTTTTAATTTGTAATCATTTTGCTGGTCACCTTTTGTCATTCATGGAATGAGCAAATTTATTGTGATTTATGGTGCGGTCTTCAAACACTGGTCCCTGCCGCCCTGGCATGAGTAAAGTGAGTGGCCTGGTTGTGATGGTGCCATCGCACTATGCCAGCAGGGCCACTGTGCTTCTCACAAGCCTAAGAGACACCTATATTGTAAAGAGATGTGTGCTTTTTTTAACGTTGGTTGAGTTTAACTGCTGTAAATAAAAAATTAAGAAATTCAAAGGAAATGTTTTGAATCTGATTGAACTTTACATTCACTTATCCTGTGCTGCATTGTATTCAGTCATGAAACATGCTGTTTGTATGTGAAATACTGTGTGACCCTGCATAGTGCTGAATGTTTGTTGTAGGAGTTCCACCGACAGATCAAGGTGGCACTGCCGAGCTGCAGGAAGGAAGTAGCCTCTGCTTATGGTGAGATCTACAGCCTGGCTATCAAGACAGCCAATCCCAACATGAAGGTGGTACGTGCAACCGTTAGCTACAGGTATTCTCTGCAGCAGCTTGTACTGATTGTTGAAGAAATGTGCTTTGTGTGGCAGGTGGTAGCGGAGGTGTGTCTGAAGGATGTGATTTTGCACGTGCTGCAAGTGCGACGCAGCGGCCTGCAGATGGGGAGAATGGGGAAGCAGCTGATGCACGTGTTACGAGTCATACATTCTAACAGAAGATGTGTTGCTGTGACCAAGATGCTGATTCATGCATATGAGCCAATCATATGGCGGTTTGTGTCGGTAACTTACACATTCATATGTTCTACAAAAAGTTCATGGAAGAACTAAACACCAAATTTCCTTTGATAGACATGCATTACATTCAGAGTGATGCAGCCAACAATTATTCTATTGTTACATGCGTATTCTTTGCTGCAAGAACTTTTTTAGCAAGCTGTTGCCTAGCAACGATAGGAGAGAAATACACATACAGACAGAGCAAGATGATTACATAAGCCTGCTTTTAAAAAGGTAAATTTGTCCTTGTGCGTACCTAAATTAAACACTAAACAATGAAGGCATATGGGGGAATGGATGTATAGATCCATATTTTCTTGACCTTGGCACTATTTGGAGGTGAGTGGCCAACTTCACGCCCTGACCACTTTACTCCTGGGGAAAGAGCCCCTGATACTCATTGGCTAGGAGGCTGGGTGGGCCTCAGAGCCGGTCTGGACAACATGGAGAAGAGAAAATTCTTGACCTTACCGGGACACGAACTCTGACACCTCGGTTGTCCAACCAATAGCCAGTTGCTTTACCGACTGTGCTATCCAGGTTTCCCATAAGCCTGCTTTTATTTTTCAATTAAAAAGAAAGAGGAAAAGGATGATAAAAATATTTGTACTAGCCTGTGCATACACCTCATTATAAAGGCTGTTGTCTAGCAATGGCAGTAGCGTGTTTACCACTGTTACGTAGCAATGGCCATCTCCGTTGTCTTTTTGATGTTACACTAAGTGTTCTCTATTTGATCCAACCCGATGTGTTAGGTAGGTGTTCAAAACAGACAGTATTCAGTCTGACGAGGTCCACTGCTCTGCTCAGAGCACCTACACTGAAAGGCCGAACCCTCCTTTTGTTGAAGAGGAGACCCTGTTGCCTAGCAGATCAGTTCTGGGGCCTGCCCAGCCTCCAATAAAGTGGTTACTAGAGACTTATTCCCAAGCTCTGAAGAAACCAAAGCATACAACTGATAGCTCAGCTCTGTCTAGTCTCCACAAGGATTGTGTTCTGCACAGTGTGATGTGATCTGTATTCTGTGCTTTAGAGCTGCAACAACATCCACCGCTCCAATGCTGCTGAGGTTCTGTTCGACGTGTATCCACTGGAGCACCCTGGTGGCTGCAGCATGAAGAATGTGAACCTCGTGGAGTTGCAGCATGCCACAATGAACAGACTGCTGGTGGACACCTGCCATGTTGTGCGCATTATTGCCATCAGGGTGTGTATTAGTGTCAAAATCAGACAAGGGCGTTGTTTACACAGAGGCAAACCTCATGTGGATCCTTCACCTTTGTTCTATCACTTCACCCAGTCTCTAAAACATGGTTTTAAATAAAAACAGGGCAATGGATAATGTCCAGAAACAAAATAATTATATTTAATTTCAATTTTCTGCTTCCACTGGATCACTAGAACATGAGAGTATTATCATGGCTTGTGTTTATTTGTTTGTTTGCTTACACTTTGAATTTCAGGTGTCAGTTGCAGACAATACTGTTCATGTGATCACAATTATTGTATTTCCGTTAAGTGCATTTTTCTGATTTCTTTGAAAGTAAAGTAATTTGTTACACATACTGCTGTTGGGATTCCTTATTATTATTATATTTTTTCTTTGGAGGGGGTGGGTTTCCCCATGCACTGCAACCATTTGTTGATCTATTGTGCGTCCCCCTTTAATTTCTAACTAGTCGCCATGCCCGTCCAGTACTGGTACTCGCTATTATTCCCATTCTGCCAGCGAGGTCGGCCCTCTCTGGCAGTGGCACCTGATACTTCCCCATCTGCTCAGAGGTCTCCTAGAGACATGAGGATCTTTTATGGGCAGTAAATCTATGACACGGGACACATGGCTTAAAGTCCCTCCCGGAGGACTTGTTCCCTGAATTTTTCTGCCCTTAAAAATTCCACAACCTCCGCTGGGTTTGAACCCGCGTACCTTGAGTCATGAGGTGGGAACGTTACCCTAGACTACAGAGGCCGCGTTGGGATTCCTTTATCATGTTTTCTGCTATTTTATAAATGGCAGAATGGAAACTCAACTAATGTTTCTTTGGAGAGCAGTGCATTTGAACATGAAACTGAGGAAGTTGTGAGGTTTTTGACTGGGGATCACTGGAATTGAATGTTGAGTGGGGGTAAACTTAAATCGAGAAACATTAAACTGGGGGTTTCACTGTACTAAAGCTCTGGTAAACCAAGGCTTCGCAGCTCTGCGCTTGTGGGCAAGCATCCTTTAGAATCCCTGGACACTAGAAATGGCCTTTAGCACCTGTGACTGACTGACTGACTGCTTTATCATGAAAACTTGAGAGATAAGGAAACACACCACAGCTGAGATAGCCAGTTCATCCTTGAGCTTGTTAAGAAGGCTTTGTGCAATGTGGAGTGAGGTCAGATGACTGTGTATGGTGGGTTACAGTGAATATGGGAGGAAGTGGAAGTCTGCATCAAGGCACTGTGATGACATTTACCTGTGCTCTGACCAAGGCTTGAACCATGTATATCACAGATACAAGTCAGGTACCTATAAACATCAGGCACATTTCTCTCTGCAGGGTATATGTCAAATTTTGTGTGAGTTCTGGTCTGGCATCCCTGTGCGATGGCGTCACAAGTGGATGTGTGTGCTGCTCCAGGACCTGTCAGCTGACGGTTCAAGTGTTCAAGTGCGTTGCAGCATATATCGATCATTGTCAAAATTGTTGAAGAACCCAAAAGCTGCAGATTACCTGGGAACAGCACTACCAGCTTTGTACCAGCAGATACATGACAACCACGCATGTGTTCGCCTGTCATTTGTGACGCTGCTTCTGCACATCAAGCAGACAGGATTGCTACAGTATCAGAAGGTGGTTCCTGTTGATCACCTTATTGCCAGGTTAAAGGTAATGTGCACAAATTATCAGAACAGTCTTATTCAATATACAAGTTAAGCATGACTGGTCTATTCCGAAGTGTGGCTCACCATTTCAAAGAAATGTTTATTACATTAATTAAGCATCCCAGCAAGCCCTGCAAGTTCTGTCTGTGAATAGGAGACAACACATTCTCAGGAATTGAATGCTTACCTCGATTATAAGAGATGGCTGCAAACTTTCTTCACGGTCAATGTAACTGTACACAGCTGCTGTTCCATTGTTTATTGCTATGAGGGAGTAAAGTGAAATTAGGCATGCTGTTGTGTACAAGAAAATGAATGTTCCAACTGCACAAAAGATGAGGCATTTGTTGAACAGCTGAGCAGCAATCAGCTTTACTTATAATTTAAGAACATGGCTGTGACACTGTATAGTCCTGGAGGCGGATGCTGGTGTTTTGGAGGAATGCACTGCCTTCATCTTGAGGGTGAGACGGAGCATACGTGTTCCTCCAGAACACTGGCATCTGCCTACCTCGCTGCATGATGTCACATGATGAAGACAAACTGAAAAATAACTGCCATGGAAACCTAAAATCTTGTGTTGTACTTCCCTGAGGGTTAATTGTGTGACTGAATTTGACCAGGGGTCAGGGAGTTGCTTTGGTCTGGCAGAGATAAAGGCGAATGTGTAGTTTCTGTTGGGGCTATACTGTGGCACAACATATCTGATAGTCTTAGAACAAAATGCTGACGGAATGTGTGAATCCAAGAGAGACAGATTAAAGGCAAGTGGAGAAAATTGAATGTAACAGTCTAGAAATTTTATTCCTATTAGAGTGCTTAAATTAAGAAGATTGCAAAGGGCTGGACATATAGCATTCTTTTTGGTAAAGTGAATCGCGTACAAAACATTGGCCTGATAATTTCATCGTGAGATGGAGAGGCAGAATAATACAAAATTGGACAGTGAGGAAATGTGGACTGAGCCGATGACGTTCAGCATCTGTAGTCCACTTGGGTATTGTGGCCATGAAGTTGTGATTCAACAGTGAAACCAGGAGGGTGACATCTTGTGCAGGTAGAGGATCAACGCATTGGACGGCAACTGGTGTCACTCATGTTCAGCAACTTGCTTGTCCCAAAGCAGTCAATGGATGAACGTGTGAAGCGCATTGTAAAGCTAGCTAACAGCAGTGTAACAGCAACAAGGAACTTCTTCCTATACTCAAAGCACGTTTTGGAGTTTGCTGATGCGGTGGAGCTGATGCGGGGTTTGCTGCTGCACCTGGAGAACACTCATTCAGGTGACGTATGCTGCATGTTACACGCCTCTCTCTGCAGTGCGGTGCAGTGCTGAAATGTTGTGTATGTGTTGAAGGAATTTATAGTTGATCAATAAATAAGTAGCCTGTCATTCATACAGAGGTGTCCCAGAATAATGTTGCAACATTGACATTCCATTTTTTTGAATTGGGTGTTAATGGCCAACATTCTGAATATCTCCAACAAGAATATCTGTGATTAATGCAGTATAAATGAAAGCATAAAAGACATTTGGTAACACTATTCTGGGACATCCTTTGTGTTGGTGTTCTGCCTCTGCACTGTTAGAGCTAGAGCTCCAGCTTGATGTCTTAAAGATGAACACTTCTCTTGTCCGATGTACAGAGTGTGCTGGCGTACCTCACCTGCACCGCAGTGCTCATGTGGTGGGTGGCCTCTTGGATGTGGTCAGCATTTTGTGGTCTCTTCACACAACAGTACTGAACAGTACTGCCAACAAGGGACAGCTAATGCAGCTGTACCAACTGGTGAAGGCATGCTTGCCAACTCTGCTAAGGTGCTACAGGGTCAGTAGTTGGGATCAGTCCTAGGACTCTATATGTACTGGTGTGCCTATGGTGTCAAACTTTGGGATTTAAACAAATTAATTTCTTTCAGTGAAGTTCACTGTATTCAAATTAATCTCCTGATTGAACACCGATTCCACTTGCTGAAGCAGACCAGGGTATTTGGTCTCTGATTTGCATTTTTATGGTCTTTGGAATTTCCTGAAACCTATGTTTCTTTACAGTCTGCTGCCATGTAAACACGATATTGTTGTGATGCAGTGTCCACAAACCCAGCTCTATATCTTCATCACTGTGCAAGATCTTGGCTGTCACAAATGGAAACCCATAAGCATTGTATTCAAAATTGATCACACCTGTCTTGCAGTAACAGTAGAGAAAACTCCCAGTGGTTCAGTGGTTCAGTGCAAGATCTTGGCTGTCACAAATGGAAACCCATAAGCATTGTATTCAAAATTGATCACACCTGTCTTGCAGTAACAGTAGAGAAAACTCCCAGTGGTTCATTATTTTTCGCCATGAAACAGAAACTGAAAGAGATAAGTGACAGCCATGTAATTTTACATTCTAGAAAACAAAACAAAAAAAAAAATTAACAGAGGTCTACATATTTTTTTAAGGTCTGTTGTTGTGTATCATTTCAGGCTCCTAAATTTAATGAAAATATCACTGCTTCATTTACATATTTTGCACATCCACCATATTGTTATTACTGATTGTAATTACTTATAGAAATGATGTACAGGTGGACTTCAGCGGGGTAATGTTCAGAGCAAGTTTAATGAAAATTGGTCAGCTGGTTTCAAAGCTGGATGAAGCACACACACACAAACACACAGCATCATTGTCTCATAAGTCTACTTTTCCCTTTAAGGAAAGAAAGTGTATTAAAATGATGAGCAGAATATGGAACTCCTTATTTAAAGCAAAAACGTGTCTGCTCCCCAAAGCTCTGAAACTTTGTGTCATGGTCTCCTGCTGTGAACAGAATGGCTGCAGCTGTTTGACAACTGAAGCTCTGTGTGCGTGTGTGGAGGAACATGTTTCTGAACCAGAGATTTTTGAAATTTGTGGCTACTTTCAAGTGAGGGAATCAGCCTTTCTTCCTAGAAAATGCCAATGCTATTAAACTGTTTTATGATTCAGGCACTGGTGACAGGGTGGACAGCCATCTCTAGTGCACATTGGAGCAATATTAAGCCCTAATTTGCCAGTGTATGGTGCTGTCAGTGCAGTATTTAAGTTGCAGTACATGTTACTTTATTAAAATGAGTAACCTGTGTCTTGAATGTGGTGTGTGCTGTAGTATTGTATTTCAAGAGTAAATGCAAATTCTTGAATTTGAACATCTGATGTTACAGGAATGTAATGGAGTGGTCCTTGGGTCAGTACTCTTCCTAGGCAGTTTGGTACCAGCTCAAGTTCTCAAAGAGTGCACAGCCTCAAGTTTCTGCATATCACGGCTCAGGAACTTAGTGCTAGAGGGAAATGTTGAGGAGGCTTCCCTGATGTGGGTCTCACCCCTCTGCAGCTGGGGTCATGGTGCTGAGGTGCTTGAACTAGCAATGGAGTGGCTTGAAGAGGCCCTGGGAACAGTACAGGTTGTGTGTAGTCAGCCACTGATCTTGTGCTAGAGCTACTGAATTTCACTCAGAGTTGCTGTGTTTTTGGACTTTGTCCATCATCTGGTATTCCAAAACACAACGTTTTGGAAATTGGATCTGTTTCCATCTTCTGATGAGGGGGAGACACCTACTCCGTTGGCTCATTTAGAAAGAGCTAACCTTGGTCCTACCAGTTGATGGACCAAATCCAGAGCCCCAGTAAATCTCTTATACACCATCTTCAGAATCCTTTAAAATCTACTACTGAATTTGGTTTGTGCTGCATTTGGGTGGTTTCTGGCTCATAAGAACAATTACCATATTTAAGGTAATTTGATTTTTTCAGTTCTTCCTGAGCCAGTATTTCAAAGTACTGGGCTTGGCCAGCGTCATCCAGTGGTTATGTAAGGAAAGCAATTGACGCCGTTGTTCACCGCGAGTTGAAAGATGTACACATATGTTTTGATGTACTTTTTCATATCTCATTGGCCTTGATATTATTCACTACAAATAACAACTTGACTGCAAAGCCAATCACAGTGCATGACTAACTTCCTGGTTATCCCTGAAAAGCTGATAGGACAGCTTGCAGCACGTGAACATTTATTATCAAACTCATAAAAGCTTGAAGAAAGCAGTCTTCTGGGATTTGGCGCCGTGTATATGTGGTGTTAACCGACGTTTCGGAGGAACGTATCGCCCCCATCTTCAGGGTTGAAGAAAAAGTATAGNAGCTTGCCACTGGCCCTGATTCTGAGCCATGTGAATCTAATTTCCATCTTCACATCTTCAGTATTACTCTGCAGTGTGCGCCTGGTTGTCCCACGTGACCTCTTCCCTTGAGGTCTCCTCATGCAGTGGCCCCCTGGGTCATGATGTCCTGCAGTCTGGTCGGTCGGAACCAAATGTTTTGGAGGAATATACTGCATTGATAAAGAATCTTTATACCAAAGAAGTGATGATGCTAACCATGTCAGTTCTTGACATTCTGTGTGGGAAGTTTAAAACTCCTCAGAGTGTAGACTTTACTGAATTTTGAGCATGAAGGAAAATGACAAAATTTCTCTGTGGAATTTCAAATACAACAGCAGGAAACAACGTTTGTTGTTGCCATGGGAGGGAGCACAAATGGATAGAGCCTACTCAGATGTAGATTGTGACCTTTATGCAGATGATGGGTTTGGGAGGTGTCTGTTGTAAGACACCGATGCTCTGTTTTGTGTTTCAGACTGAGCAGCTAGGATTGAGGAGAGTCCGATTCTGCAGTCGGTCAGAACCTCTGTTGGCTTTGCATATGCTGGACGCAGTGTTTTGCCACCCAACAAACATGTTGTCTGTGATGACAAAGAACAGAGATCTTGTGCTTGAGCTGTGGTTGTATCTTGACAGAATTAAGGTGAGAGGGGACTGTACATGTAATGTGAAATGAGTGATTGGCTATCACTGTGTTCTGAAAGTTGATACAGTTTGAAAAGTCCTTTGTTTCTAAGTGCAACAGAATTTGTGACATGCATGAGAACTTTAATTAGGATAGTTAGTGCCTGTGTTAAGATTCATACTAGGAAAGTTTGTTAAGATCTCTGATGTTCCTTCTTCCCAGTGGGGTGAGACTGCAAGCTATTATATCAGTCCTTAAAGCAAGGGTATGGAAGGAGTTGCATGGACAGTCTGAGGAAAAGCAAAATATACTTGCCAAGATAATTAACTACTTGATGTGCCCTTAGATTGCTGAAACTAGAAAATGAATTCAAGTGCCATTGCACTTAGAAGTGTAAGGAAGGAACACAACATTCATCTGTGTCAAGATTAAGAACAGATGGAGGTTGCCTCCTTGCCTTCACGGAATTGTGCATGGACACTTTTGTATAAATCAGATCTTTTGTTCTGTAGGCTGTTTGAAGGCCTGCAGGCTACTCTACTATTGGTCCTGCCCTCTGACTGTTTGTTTCAGCTTGCTATTGAGAGACGCATGGTGGGACCTTTGACCTCTCCACTTTTGTCTGATGAGTTTCTGTGCCTCTGTTTCCTCCGCTATGCGAAACTCATTGTTCTTCTTGGAGAATATCCAGGCAAGACATTCAGCTCTTGTGAGACTTTACTGCAGTTGCTGGGGTGGGCTGAACGGTATGTCTTGTCACTGAACTGAGGTTTCTAGTACTTCAGTAGCATGGTTCAGTCTTGTAAGTCACTTCAACATCATGAAATTTCTATTTCCTTTCGAGGTCTTGGGCTGAAATATTTTCCTGAATGCCCAATTTAAGACACAGTTGCCTCTGTATTTGCACCCCTACTAAATGGGGTTGTTTATTTTTCTTTGAAAAGATAGAAGGCTGGGTCATGTTCATGAATAAAGAAAATGTTTTTTTTTGGGGGGTGGGGGTTGTCATGTTATAGTGTGACAGTGATTGATGTGTAACTTATTCCTTAGTGATTTGAAAAGAAGACACAATACCACTTTTGAATATTAATAGTAGTAGTAATAACAACAATAGTAATAATAATAACAACAATAATAATAATAAAAGAACCTCTTGAATCTCATTTTCCTTTCTTCTTACTAGGCGTTTTGAAGCATACACTTGCTGTGTTTCAGTGTTCTGATGCCCCACATTCCAGGGACCCTGCCTGCTGAAGTGCCTCTTGCAGCAAAATTGCTGAATTATCTGACTCAAGTGGCAGCCACAGCCATCATGACCGGGCAGACAGATGACACATTGCATGTCCGGCTGGCTGAATACACCCACAAGTTGCTGAGTACAGGTACAACTTGTATGTTATGTGACAAAGAATGAAGTGGTTGTGGCCTATTTGAAGACACTATTCCAGCAGCTCCATAGAGGAAATGAGCTTATAGTTTAGAATGTGAAATGCTGGTTGGAAAGGGATGCATCTGGATATTGGAACATACATGAGACGATAATGTTACAGCGGGCTGCAAAGGCACTGTCCGATGAATGGTTTCAGCTGTACATGGCATCTTCTGGGCAATTCTTATAGTTTCATGCTATTAAAGAAATGTCTGCGAACTGTGTTAGTAATTGTGACTGACTTTTGCAGGATGTGCGCTGATGTTTGTGCACGGTGTTGTGTGTGTGACACACTGGTTAGTAGAATACTGCTGGGTGTACTGTGGGCATGCCGATGAAGTGAACCTGCTGCTTCCTGCTATCCCACGTATGCTGCTTGATGTGCTGCTGGTCTTCATGGATGGACACTACAGCCAGGAGACCTTGGCACTGTACGCTGAGGTAGGAACAGGCGCTGCCTCATGCTCCATTGAGCATCTCAGTACAGAGTGACAGCAGCACTCAACAGTTCACACAATGGAGAATGTTCAGTTAATATTTGTTAATCTTATTATCTTCACGGTAACCAATGCAAGGCAAGTTAGAAAATGTATTCACAGTACAACAGATCTGGCACACTGACTCTTATTGTCTGTAGAAAGCACAAAATTTCTGTTTGCTTAATTAACATAGAAACTGGAATGTGAAGGGAAAATATATTAGGCATAAAATGTGTTTCACTTTTCCACACAACTTTTGTCTGAAACATTCTTTCAGGAATATTTTTGGAACCTTTTGTTGTAAACATAGCAAAAAGAGTCTGCAAACATTTGTTATACTGAGGTTGTGCTCTGTTTGCCATGCCAACAGAGCATGGGTGCTGTACGAGCTGCTCTGAGCGAGGTGCTTGTTGTGACTCTGCAGTATCATGGGGGCATATCGAAGATGGTGCTCGACATGGTGAACGGCTGTGCAGATGCTGTGGTTGGCATCACAATGAATCACATTGTGGAGGTACAGATGGCAGCCTTATTAAATCTGTCATAAAGGCAGGATAATTTGTTTGTTATTTCTACTAAACTGTAACAAGCACAGAGAAGTGTTTTTACATAGACATCAAAAATAAAAGGGCTTTCTGTGTTAAGACTTGGTGGATTCGTTGCATTTTCTGCTGCCAGGTGGAGATACTGAAGCCTGTGAAGATGGTGCATGACTTGCCATATGTAGCAGCACAACTACTGAGTGTTTTCCAACAGCAAAATGTGTTGTGCACCTTGTTTCTGTGTTTGATGGCAAAGCGGATACGTACACATTATGTTCAGGTACATGGTGGATACTGTGTCGTGACAATAATTCCTGATGTCAGATGAAAGTACCACTGAACACATTCCATACTAATGTTGCTGGTGTGTGTTCCCACAGGACCCATTGCTGGTGGTTTCCACAATCTCCGTGCTCCATGCTGCGGTGTACAACTCGGGTAAAATGTCCATTCGTGACCTGAGGTTGGCAGCACGTGCAGCTGCATCAGCTTTGGAGACTGTGAGGTTAGTAAAATGTGTTTAAGAGGAGCCAGGCCAGTTCCATACACAATACTTTAAGATGAAACATTACTGTAAGTGTTCCACATAGCTCAGAACAGGAGACACAAAACTGACAGGAATTTTGGTTGCAGACCAGTTCAAAATGGCCACTAGGTTGACCAAGAAGGAGATGGAAGGATAATATTAAGAATGTCATGAAAATAAATAGGTTGTGAGGGTGTCAATTGGCTCAGTCAAGTTCTGTCAGTAGTTATCAGTTCAATCTGACAATAATTCACAGTTTGTGGTAATCTTCATGCATACAGAATGAAATAGAATTTGTACACGAGCTCTCACCAGTGCGATCCCTTGTCAAGAAAAAAGTAAAAAATGTTAAACATCATGTCTTGAGACACCCAGTTTTCGTGATATGTACGTCACCATCAAATGCAGTAACATACTTCTAAGCAGCATTGTCACAACGAAATGTAGTGCACTGTTAGGTGTACTCAAGATGCATAATGCACTGCAGAGGCCAGTTGCCATCAAATGATCTTGAATACGCATGTGACAAATATTGTGATGTGTTCTTAACCCTAGTACCAACAATACTTGAGCTGGTACTGCTGCACAGGAATACATGCTATGTTATCCTGGATGACGACATCCAGACGCTAATGTGCAACCTGTAGGGCACACATGACTGCCGTTGGAGCAAGGACTCTACAGACAGCACCCAATGAAGATGCCACAATTGCAGCTGTGGAGCTCACATGGGACTGCCCCAACTGAGGTTCCTCGAAGTACTTCATGATGATCGACTGCATCCATACCACCACAGGCAGGGCACATTGTCAATGGCTGCCATGTTGCAAATGGCTATGACATCACATTGCAAATAAGTTCGCACATGAGGGTATGGTCAATGTCCACAAGGCATCTCTGCACATGGGATAATCCTCATGCTATCTGTGAATGTGGGTATCAAGTCAGCTTCAGCATCAGCATGTTTGGGGATATTGTCACTGGTCCGTGTCTGCAACCTGACAAGCTGAGTGCTCAGCGATATCACGATTCTGGAAACTTTTCTGTCAGTGCTGCTTGAAGTTGTGCCTCTAGCTGTGAGGCAAAGTGGTCATCTCAGCATGACTGAGGTCCATTGCAATACAAGGACGATGTCCGGGAAGGTGGATTGGACATCGAGGGCTGAATGCATGGCCTCCTCAGTCAGCAGATCTAACTCCAATGGATGGATGCTATTCCTGTGGAGACACGTGAAGGAATATTGAAGATCTCATGGCAAGACCTCGAGCGACTGTGACAATTGTGAATGCCAACATGCTCTCTGTGCCTTGAGATGGAGTAAGGCCACTCTCAACACCTATTATGAGGCTCTCATAGTTTGATCATGATATCTTGCGCCATCAAAAACTAAAAGTCCTGGGACATGTATAACATTTTAGGCTTGTTTCTTAACAAAGAATCACCCTATGGAGAGCTTGTGTGTGTGTATTTAATTTCATCCTGCATAATAACGAATGAGCACTTTTCCTGGTTTCATGTTTACAAATAACACAGAAAATTAAGCCACCTAAAATTTTAAATATAACTAAACACTTTGTGTATAATGGAAGTTATTAAAGAAAAGGTATATAGGCTATGGGGTACTTTTGACACAAACCAGTCCACAAGGTGACATGACAAAGTTGTGATGTCCACTGTTTTGTCCACAGACGAGGATCACACAGCAGTCACAATGCCCTTGGCGAGCACAACAGTGATGCAAACACCATGTGAGTGCACACAACATTACAACTACTTGCACAGTCCTTACCAACTCATAACCCAGAGTTGTTTTCCTCAGCTCACCCACATGAATGTTGGGAGACAGCCTTAAAATAGGCCATGGCCACTTCATGCATCTTCCTTTGCCAATTTATAACCCAGGCTGGATTTCCTCAGTTTCTCCATACAGATAATCTTAAAAGATCATGTATGACCACTTCCTACAGGAATGATATTTCTTGTGTTTTGCATGTTAACAGGGTCATGCTGCTGGCTGCGGCCAATCAGGCATTAGCTGCCATTTTGGTTAAGCTGGGCCTGAGGTAGTGCAACAGTACGATGGCTAGGACTACTGTTCCAGCACGGATTGTGAGTGTATACTGCGCAATAAATTATATTCTGCCACTCCTCCCATACGTTTCCACTTCGGAGTGTATATGATATGAAATCATGTGCAGTTGATACAGTGCCACCAAATAATCTAGAAGCTGAACTAATGAGGGGCTCCTTATCTTGAAGTTTCATACTGTGCTGAAAGGTTGTGAGTTGCACTGAAATTTGATGAAAAATGCCATGTGACAGGACTGCATATTTTGTTTTGGTAAATGGCGTTCCCTGCAAACTGTTAACCTTATCAAGACAATGAATGGTTCTTGTTGGTGTGTGTCATGGAGGCTGATACAGAATATGCTGTCACATCCCACCCAGAAGGCATATCTTAATATTCACTGCTATGAAAATCTGTCTCGTATCTTTACCAAGATTTTCCCTAGCATCTTAAAGTCAACCTTTTCAGAGTGAACTTGAACAGTGACATGGCTCATGATGAAATTGGGTGTGAAATACATTCTGGAAATGCTTGTTGTTAGTTTGGATTAATTTGAATCATGTACATTTTTAATCCCCCGGTCATGTGGAATACAAGCTCTAAAAATAGCTGTTAGAGGAAGTTTACAAGTTACAACTGACATATCTGTATCACCCTGTAGCCATTTTTGTAGCAATTATGGTACTTCAATTTTGCAAGCTCAGTTTTATGTACTTTTCCATCTGGTGCCAGCCAAGTGCCTTTATGAATAAAGTTAGATCTGAACCCATTTTACTTTCCCTCAAAGTGTTCATATCAACATGACACTAGGCATATATGGTGCATCTCATTTATGAAGTTTTCCATGTAACCATGAAATGTTAATGTCTTATAAGGGCAGGCTTAAAAAGCTTACACAATCAATTATATTCTCTGTAGAAAACCAACAGAATAAACATATTTTTTACACTGAAAAAATGGCTAAAAACAATAAATACACAAGTTTCCAAATATACATTACATGTTCCTGCTGTCGATTTTTAAGTCTAGTTTGTTATGAAATGCTGTTCACTCTTCAAATGTCTGTTTTACTTACCTTCTAATAATGTCTTTAAACTTTCTTGGTTGGGATATATCTTTATGTAGTATAGTGGCGTCACATCTTACATGGGGGTTACATTCTAAAGACGATGTGTAAACCCAAAATTGAGTCTAGTCATAATTATCTCTTGAAAATCCATCATCCTTAAAGTACATGAATGTTTAAATGGGATATAAATATATTATCCTTGTGGTGTTACTTTTGGAACCCACTCACCTTAGCTTTTTAGGCAGGAAACCATTTTAAGTGGGACATTCACTGTATACTTAAATGTGGCAATACATCACTTCATTATGGGTGAAATATGGATAACAAAGCAAACAAGAAACCATTTACAATAAGTGATAAAATTAATATAATAGTGCAAGCTGATGCAAGTACTGGAGCATATGTCAAAATGGTGTCATGGATTGGACTTTCAGTGACCACAATAAGCACAATTTTGGAAAAATTGAAAGATGTTATGGCCAATGTGGACTTCACTGCAATCTCTGAAATATTTTCTGGTGGAGGAATGACGTGAATAATGCTTCAACAGGTGACACTAACCCTAGGAAGAAGGCCTCACACACTCCAATATGTAAGAGGACGAGATGCTTGCGCTCCTTGCCATGGTGGTGCTTATCTAAACAGTGGTTTATTAACAGCCAGTTCCATCCAGCCATTACAGATACTGTGCAGGTGAAGCTGGATGTGTTGTGCACTTCATATCAGAAGTCTGGCAGTTGTGATGTCTGTGAAGTCCAGACTGCTGACCAAATGTTTGCTAAGCCACAAGAAACAGAGAGAACATTCCTGGATGGACTCTGAATGGCAAACAGCAAGAAAGTACTACATTTGCATGTTTGATGCTGAGGGCAATATTATAGTAAAGCTAAAAATGAACTATACGGACCGAGAGCTCAAGAACAAAGAAATAACATGGTATGTAGATTAACGTACTTGCATCTACATCATCATTGTATTCACATATACATTTTGAGAGGTACACCAAAGTTAGGGTATCAAGTTACTCATATTCTTTGCATTACATTTTCCTAAGTTTTACTTTCCTAAATTTTATGTTTATTTTAGTATAAAAGTGTAAAATAGAGGTTTCACTGATATAAATATTTGTAGCGAGCTGTTGTCATATCTTGCAGAAGACATTTCTTTAGAGAAAGAATATAAATAATATATGCTGAAATTTAATTCAGAACTATGAACTGTCTTTGTATGTTCTCATCATAATTTATTACTGTGTGAACTATCACTTATGCAAAAAAAGGGGGGGGGAAGCCCTCATAGACAACATGTATGACTACATTGAAATTGTGTATGTAAATGTGATTTCAAGCAGCACTGGTCCAAGCTGTTGCCAGCAGATACAAATTAAACTTCTTCTACCACCTCATTCAATTCTGATCAAATTCAGGACAGTTAACCTACATTAAATTTTATCATGCATATTATATTCCGACATTTATTGTTCCAAGCTATGTGTACGAGATAAGGCACTTGAGTATCTACTTCATGTACAAAGGGCTTAATTAAGATTTTGCAAGACGCAGAACATGCAGGATGACCTCATCAACAGTCTGGTTGTTCAGCAGTGTTTTAACAGCAGAATCATCAATCACTACAGTGAACAGCAACTTGGCATTCTCTCTGAGACGGTCAGTATACGGCAAATCATCACCAGCTCCCACAGGCTGATGGCCACAGCGTCTGATCACAGCCTCCAGCAGTCGGTCAACAGGCGCACCTGGCCACCCAAATGCCTTGAGCGTGGCTTCATCCACCAGCAATGTGAGTAACTCTCGTACTGAGTCCGCAAGTGCACTCTCACCAAGGGTGCCACTGTTCAGCTCAGTGGTTGCCGTAGTTGCTGTGGGTACCGGATCCCTGCAGGGGGGCAAGGGCCCCACATCTCCACCACCAGCTGCAGCCAACAGCTGCTGCTGCAACTTCTTCTTTTCTGCTTCTGCAAGAATTTCTTCCAACATATCACGGTGCTTGGTACGCATGTGACGCAACAAGCAGTCCTGCCGTATGAATGCCCGTCCACACTCATCACATGATCGTGGTGGTTCCTGCAAACAGCCATTTCATGTCACAATAAGCTATGCATTGAGCCATTGCTCAACCAGATACATGAAACACTGGAAAACATAATGTATTCTAGTTCAGACTTTCACAACCATACGGATGGGGAGAAATGTGTTCTACACTGAATGTTGGCTAGCTCAGTGTGGCCATATGAGGCTGACCACTCAACTCCAGCTATTCTGGTATATGTCCACCCATACACTCGTGGCTTGATGTTTAAATTAAGTGAAGTGACAATTTTGTATTTATTTATAGCAGTGCCACTTTCTGGGTATGAAAAGAAAATGATGTATGTGCATTCTATTTGTCATCATACCTACACATGCAAAATTGAGTTAGGTCAGTGTAATGAACTCTCATAAACCAAGTACTGCCATCCTTCAACCCATAACAAACAGTCATAAGTCTGTTGTTCAGAAGTGAAAGCTTCTACAATACAGCGATGCAATAATGTGGCAAGCTGTGCCCAAAGTAAATGCCATACTAAAGAACCGATACACTAACATATGTCACGTGCCTCAACCATTTATCACTGTTCCATTCTCACTTTACCTTTGAAACTCAACTGGTTCTACTGAACTGATGCAAACCAATGAGATATGATACTGTGAAGCAGACATGCAGACCTTTCTAAATTCAGTCTAGGAGGTTCAGTGAATATCAGTGTTTCTACCCTGAGCTCTACTGTCTTACCTTTGTGTGTGTTAGCAGGTGAATCTTCAGGGATGACTTCATTGCAAAACACTTCTCACAGATTGGGCATTTGTGTGCTGGAACAGAAGAGCCAAAGTTTCAACATCTATCCCTTCTTACTGTATCCTTGTGTAAGTGTATCACACTCTTCCAGCAAGAGTGTGCAGCTTTAGAAAAAAGAGGTTCCACCACCAGCCACTCTTTTCACCATGAAACACATCCATACATTTCTATTACTGAACTACACTTGAGTCCATTATAATGAGGATTCTTAACCCTTTGACGTGGTCATTTAAATTCCGCGGCTCCTGCGGTAATATATTCAGCCGGCCATTTAAATTTTGCTCGAAAATTATTTATTCATCATTGTTCTTAAATTCTATGAGATAGGAACATGAAACTTTCACTAAAATGATCTTAAATGGTGGTTTTATAACCTTACCTTATAATATGGGCGCCCTGTATCTCGGCCATGGAAGCAGGTTGTTTAGTATTTCAGCAGTGAATGGTACGCCTTGAAGGATGAAACTTTCACTAAAATGATCTTAAA